TATGGTTACCGTTAACAAACTAAGTTAACCTTCATAATTGAGTCATTGGAACATTTTCATTAAATACCTACTATTATGTTATCGGTATGGTCAAGTTACTATAACCATGTCTCCATGGACAATCTTTAACGTTATTTATATCTACATGTTGTTTATGTGTATGTGCAAATTTATTTTACTGTCTTTCATATACTGTTACTTTCATAGTTACAATGTTAGCAGAAAATGTTTGTATTATTATTTTTATTGTTGTTTAAAAACAAAATACATTTTGATTGGAAAAGTTTTTATAATTTATTTTTTAAATTTACTTAAACTAAAATATGAAGGTGGAACTAATGACACTACAAAAATCGGAATCAAACAACAAAAATCGTCATGTACTTTAGGCTACGAAAGACAAAAGTAAACCAAAAATATATAATATTTAGAGTAAAACATAACCGTGAACAGTCGGCGGGAATGAGGGCTAATAATATTCTGCTCACCAGATGTCGCTAGTTAACACTGAGGCAAAGTTTTTGTTAAACAATGTCATTTAATTGAGTAGTTAGTTTTTAATAAAAATTTATCAGTTTCTAGAGTACACAAAACAATGCTTCAGTGGTTTGCTCTTTAATTTCGTGCACATTTTTAACTTTATTTAATTTTTCCTCTTTTATGAATATCTGTGGTTGGGTTTATTTATGTTTAATCTTCTTAATATAAAATATAGCTAATAGTACAGAAAGAAACATTAACCTTTACATTTTTCGAACAAATTAACTTACCCACTATGAAATCTGTCAAATATTATATACCTAACTTTTAAATGCCGCCGCCCTGGTGGTAAAAAAGTCGTGGATGCCCTCATTAGCCATACAAGTTTGTATTTCAAATTTTAATTACTTAAATATAAATGGTACATTAATAAAAACCATTCCATAATAGACTACAAATTAATATGTTAGATTATGTTAGTATGTATGATGAGACGGATGAGACGGCCCGTGGCGCAGTGGCTTAGCAATGAGTTGCAGCGCTGGGGGCCGCGGGTTCGAATTCCGCACGGAACAAGTATTTGTATGGATTACAAATAATTGTTCCGGGTCTGGATGTTTGTCCTTATACAATTTATGTTTGTAAACTGCCTTCACGATACAGGAGAAAATCCTAGTGTGGGGGTAACGTAGTTTAATTTTAATTAAAAATCTGAGGAATTATATCATTGAAGTGCTAAGACAGCTGCAACTGACAGTTTGAAAAGGTACAACCATTTACGTTTCATGTTGTTTGTGTATTTCATTTTCTATATTAAAATAATAAATATTTGTTATCTCTATTTCCGCTACCACTTCATCATTAAAAAACTAAAACTTCTCACCTCTAAAATTAATTTATAACGTTACATTTGTATAGCATACCTTTTTTGATATCATCGATCACATTAACAGTTTAACGATGATAGAAAATAAAATGAAGGAAATGAAAATAATTTATAACTTTATTCATACAGCCTTTATCTTTTGTCCGATCGAAGTTTGTTGATTCGATCATTTCAATCTGATTAGTTCGGGATACGAGAGACCTTGTTAGATTAGAAATAAATAAAAACAAATTAGTTTGCTCACAACTACGAGTATGTTAAAATTATAAAATGATTAATTTTTAGTAACTGCCATACCTTATATAAATTAAGAAACATTTAAATTAGCGGTTTCGTTCCTCATGTTATGTGCTTAACCTAACACTTGTCAACTCATTTTATATTCCATCCTTTCACTACGTGATTATTTTCATCATTTACATGAGTATTACATAAACTTATATATAAAATTAATTAAAAATTAAACGCGATAAAATCCGTAAATATATTTTTATTCCATTGCTTAAACTTTTTACATAATATATTTACAGTTTTACTATCTCATACCGTGTGTCATCCAACTCAGTTTTTTTGTCAATTTTTATATTCAAATTTTAAGCGATTTTTCTTACTTTAAATACAGTTTTTATTACTAATATATATCACGGTTATTCATATTTCCTTTAATTAGTTTTCCAGTGATATCAGTAATTCAATTTTCACCTTTAAAGAAACTTTACATACTTCGCGAGTTTTAATACCGATTTTTTTGTTATAAAAGTTGGAAGAAATTATTTACATATTAATAGTCCCGGAAATGAAAAATATATTAAAGTACAAACGGAGCATCGTGACTCGTCAGTAAAGTACGAAACGACTCTATTTTGAGGGTTCAACACACAGAGTAGTCGGCGATCAGAGATGTTTATTTATACTTCGTGTCGTTTTATTTGTGCCAAAACGAAGCAATCTTTTATACCCCATTCTCATTGAATTATTTTTAAATTATTCGAATTATACATTTTACAAATTTATTATATTAAAATATATTCTTTTGTTTATATCTTTGAATACAATTCATAGACCAGTAACTATCATTACCACTACTCCTGTAAAGAAAGTCACGATTTTAAGATTTCATGCGAAAATGTTCTAAAAATACGTATTTTGAAAACTTCTCTGCTCACTTTTATTACTCTGTAATCCACAAAAGGGTTTCGCAGAGGCTTAAAACAGCCACTTATTATGTATGTTACATTTCACTTTCAGACGTCATTTATATTCAAATGCTCAAAAGGCATTACTGCGCAAAAATCGTAGCATTAACCCCTTTGAAATGAGCGAAATTGGTTTCGACAAGTAATTCATTTTTCAGAATATGCTTTTATTCGTGAATTTTCATAGTCATTTCGTTATTAAATGAACACGTTTTTATCCAAAGAATTTGTTAATATTTTGAATAGTAATATTTGTTACATAACGTATTATCGAAACCCTTTTCGGAGTGGCAATGGACGTGGTTATCATATTAGGATTATTATTATTTCCGTTATGACACTCCAATTCAGAAGTAATTATAACGATATCATAATATGTTATTAAAAATAATAAAGAAAGTAACACTTTATTTTGGTACAAACCATGGGCGCACACAACAATTTAAAATTTAAGCCTATAAATGTAGAAATAATTAGACTTTGTACTTGAAAGGCATGCCAAAAAATGTCATCACTCAGCATGTATTGTGGTTAAACTACAATAGTAGTAGTTGCAAAAGTAGTTTCTAATAATATATATTTTTTGAAATATAGTATTTGGGACCTATAGGATAGACCACTGCACATGTTAAGGATGTGCAACAACTCGTATGAACGCCGGGTATCCCAATTAGGCCAATGTGGAACCGTCTTGTATTTTCTATTTTACTCTTATTCTTATAAAGACCAAAACTTATGGAAAATCCAGCCCCAAGAAAGGATTTTAAATTCATTTATTAACTTACTAACATTTAAATTTAAAGTAAAATCAATTTAATCATCGTTACATTAACAAATATCTTTGCACGTTAAAATGAAAATCAAGTACCGTTGTAAATATTATCAATAAACAAAGTAAAACGGAAGCATCCGAAGTCCAATAATTCACAATCAAAAAAGTCCCGCGGAATTAGGGTAGCAGCGGCACGGTGGATCCTCGTACAAAATGATTACGCACGCCGTCTTCATCTGTATACAAAGAAACGCAGCGGGGCTCTGTGATATTATACTTTTGCCTTTGAGGTAGCTCCACAACTCAGTGGGTAGCATGCTTTATGGTTTCAAATGATAAAACTGTTTGTCAGTAGCTTTGTTTGGATTCATTTCACTGGATGCCATGACTAATTCAACATTTTAAACCGTGATACATTATTATGGCGCAAATATGGCTTTGATTGATTTGAAAATGTTTTTTACGAATATATACAATTAACAACCGATTATTGTGGCCTAAGATAATCTACTGCCCCATATCATCCCGTGGGTATCGTGGAGGCGACAGAGGGAAATGAAATAGGAGATGGGCAGACGCAAGCCGAAAACAACAAACAAAAAGTATCAGTAAATATAAAATAAATAGTGGTCGTCAACCCGCCTGCTGACCGTGGCAAATATAGCAAACAGCCCTTTGTGGCAATCCATGGGAGAGGCTTATGTTCAGCAGTGGACTTTTGAAAGGTTGTAATTAATGAAGGAATAGCATGATTGTAGTAACCCGTATAATATTATGACCGTATCCAGTAAAATCAGTAATGTTTTTCTTCATATTTTACTGTTTTTCGGCAACAGCGATGTATTAAATCAAGTTGACACAAAGAAGTTTCTACCAGTACTAACTTGTCACATGTAGAGAAATAATCTAATAACCTAAACCGCTAAATAAACTCGTATTACTGTATCGTAGAGAACAATTTGTAAAAAAGGCAACGTCTGTATACAAGAAATAATTTTAAACTGACGCATATGTTTTTAACGCCTAATAATATGTTTATATATTTTGATAGTAGCACGAATGGGCCGGCTCGAACGTTGTAGGACCACTATTTTTATTTCTCAGGCATGTAGGTTTCTTCACGATGTTTTCTTTCATTGCTGAGCACGTGGTAAATCGGCACTTAAAATTGCAATTAACAATTTCATTGGTGCCGGCGGGAACCGAATCCGTGCTGCACGCGAACTGTGAAATTTACAGCGAGCACTAAGCTAAGCTACCTTTTTATTATATTTATAAAATTATCACTTAACGTAATGGATATGCAAATGTATCATGGCAAATCGTGGCATTACATTCCAAGGATAAGTAACACTCGTATGCAGTTGGCAAAGTAAACGTTCTCTAAAAGCTCGCGCTGGAGATAATAACAGAATACGCGGGAGCGGATAGCCCCGGGCACCATCTGAGCATCACGTTATAGCAACGCGAAGCCAGAACTAGTTATCTTGAAAGACAAAACATTCAAAGTTTATATTTTGCGTTAGCAGTAGGTACAATGGTTTTTATATTTACAAGTTTATTTAAATCAACAATTCTATATTATTCTCCTAAATATTTTTACTGAACCTAATACTAAAAAAGAAAATAAAAAAATTCTTTGTAGTAATTTAAGCTATTCTTTCAGGTTACGCGACGAGAGAGGCGACATTGAACGCGTCATAGCCATGGATAAAGCACGCGAGGGTTCACACAATGGTAAATATCATTACTTTTATACGATCATAATTTATGTGAACCTGAGTATGTTAATTTTTATCATCTTTGAAAATCTTTGCATGGAACATAAATTCCTACAAAGTGAGGCAATCACTTACTGTCTGAAGGTTCAGAAATAATGAAAATTGAAGATTCTCCTACATGTATTTATATCATTTTTACAGGTTCTTCCCCAGGACATAGTCCTGTCCTTAACTTATCTAAATCTGGGTCTGGTGGCGATCGCGACCGACAAGAACGGGGTGATCGCGATCGAGGCGAAAGGGGCGATGGCTCCGCCAGCGGCAGAAGTTCCGCTGCCTCCCCTCGCACCCCTCAGCCCCCGCGGCTGCCCTCCACTGCTACTGCGGCAGCTTCTCCTCACTCACATACTGACGAAAGCGACGCAGCCTTGTCTGATCAAGACGACCACAACGTTAAAGATGAAGATGATGGTAAGTCCGTGATCGAAGTATTTCTTGATATCGAAATTAATAATATTTTGTTAATAATATGTCTTACTTATTCGCTCGTGTCAATCTTGGCAAATATATCCCCCATATTTGGCAAGTTTGTAAATTTTTATATGACATGAATACAGGTGGTACCATGTTATGTGGCATTCCTTGGGAAGGACTATGTTCAGCATTCGACCTGTCGTTGATCGTAATAATTATGATGATGATGCTTTATATCCAAACAAGTTGGAAATGATTTGGGTGCAAGTGTTTTAATTTAAATCAGTAAGCTTTTTTTTATAGAATAAGAGTAACAAACGAGCAGACAGTCAACCTGATGGTAAGTGAATGCTGTGGCTCATAGACATCTAAATTTATCCTCGATTGAAAATCAAAATGCAGATGCGTTGTCACTCCTAAGGAATACGATGGAATTCCACGTTTCCAGGTAAAAGGGTCTGCGGTTCTTTACACTCACCATACGAAACACACCACCATTAAGCTGCTATTTTACGCTGGTATTCTGTGGAGCGTGGTCCTACCCCGGTCAAGCCGACCCATTCGTGCTACAACCATAATATAGCTGCAGCATGGCTCCACCACGTAAACTGTTTGAAATCAGAATATTTTTTCCAAAAATACAGTCTGTGAATATGTTCAAGATCGTCTCCGGCATTACATCAGATTTGATAGACCATAAATCCTCGCAAAAGAACATCGATTCCTACCATGGATGATTCGCAAGGCCATTGAAATTAAAAATATACAACCTAATTTCAATAGAGAAGATGGTTGGGTGCAACCATCTGTTTGGGATCCTACAATTTATAAAATGATATCCAAACCTAAGCATACCACTGTACGACTTCAAGATACTGTAAGCTCGTTCTGCGTAAATCGAACCAAAAATTAATATTCAAAGCTAATGGTAGCCGGGCTAACTATGAGACTGGGACTTCAAATACCTCAATCCCCCCCTCCCCGAGACGCCGGCAATTAAAAAGCTAAAGATAAACACGAAAAAATCTGTAAAATTAGTTTTATTTAAGGTGTGGATTCGCGTAAATATAAAAAAATCACATTTCGTGTACTTATTATATCCGTATAGTTTCGTTTAAATTTTAATAAGTCCACTTCTCGTACATAATCACAGTCAAGCGATACGTGAGACGTATAAGAACGCTTGTATGAACTTAGCATAAAATGTTCAACAAAATTGCCCGCTAATAGCTCTGAGGCTTTTAATACCTATAGTATTTCTACACTATCAGCAGCAATATTAATATCATACTGTGTTTTTAAAACCGGATCATAGATAATGTTGATATAAAAAGGAAGTTGTGATATGGTACCGCAGTGTAATCTCATAAAAACTTAGTGATCATTTTTTTTACAATTTTCAATAGGGTGATACGAGCACACAGTCCACCTGATAGTAAGTGGATACTGTAGCCCATAGATATCTACGTTTATCCTCAATTATCCAAAATGCAGATGCGTTGTCACCCCTGAGGACTAAGATGGAATGTCTCGTTTCCAGTAAAAATGGTCTCCGGTTCTCAACACTCACCAAATGAATCACATCAGGCTTGAGCTGCTATTTTACGCTGGTATTCTGTGAGAGCTTGGTTCTACCCTGGTCGAGCCGACCCATTCGTGCTACAACCATAATATAGATTCACGAGTAATAGAGGAGAAAATCCACATACTATACGTACGGTACATTCGTACCCTGAAAACGACCGACTCACTATGGTGATTATTAGACCGTACTAACTAATACATAAAGGTATTATTTAAAAAAATAATCATATTTCTGTTTAAAATGATTAGAGATATACATTGTAACTAAAAGTAGTAAATTTTCCCGACATTAATAAACCGATCGTGTTCGTTCCCATACTGTAGCCCGTCTTGATCCCTAGACACCGCACGTTTGCTTATAATGGACCGATATAATAAAATCTTATTACGAGTATTGGCCGCAATTGCCCTCAATGATGTATGAATAGCACTTAAAACGACCCAATTCAATTTTGCACCTTAGTCGAAGAGCATATTACACAAGAACACTGTCCATGTTTTATATATTTTATACCGGGGATATTTAAGACAGATTACGTTACTTTTTTACCGTGTAGTGGTGTTGTAAGAACATTCACTTCCCCATATTATCCCGCGGGCGTAAGAGGCGACAGAGAGAAACAAATCAGGTGATTGGCAGCAGCGTCTTTCTAATAACGACTAAAAATAAAAATAAACTGCGAGTGCCAGCTCCCCTGCCAAGTGTACCTACCAGATATGGCAAGGGTCCCTATAAAGCAATCTGTGAGGGTAGGGCTGTAACGGTAACAATAATTACGTAAGATATGACATTTTAAGAAAATTGGAAATTATAAAATACAGTAAGTAATGTTTTTAATTTAAATATTATATAAAAATATTAATTTATTGTTCATTAGCAACAGTCTATTGATCATTATCGTAATAAATCTCGTTGATAACTTCGTAGGTTTTGCTATTAGCATAGATCTTGGACTATTAAAGCAATGATGGATGACATGACAATTTCTCTGACGATGTATTAACATTCGTTTTATCTACAGCTTTTTGTAAATTGAATCTATTGCCTTGCTAAAATTTTCTAATCAATTAAGTAGCGGATATCACCATTTTGATCATCAATCAAATGAAAACCTGTTATGAGGCTCACGCAACTAAATTACAGAAGCTGTTACATGTGCGGTTATAATAGGAATGAAAAGCAATACAAATAATTCAGAAGAGTTCGGAAGGACCTATTGAGAGTTCCAAGGGCCTAAAGTATAGCGCCAAGATGAATAAACTCTTTGTCTTTAAGTAGCAAATGTTATAATTTCTTAAAACAGTGCACATTTATTACTTACCTGGAGTACATTGTTATAAATGCTTATATCAGCTAATAGTGGCACCGATAAATAGGGAGCATTGACCCATAAGAGGTGCCTATTATGCAAAGTAGTGGTAGCGATGGTACAATCGATGACGCGGGACGGTGTAAATCAAAACAATGATCCACAAATGTAAATATTGGAAGCATACAATGGCTAAATTAAGCGAAACAATAAGGATTGTGTGTTGTATTTATTGTAAGTTGCACACAAAATGCGCGAGGAGCGTGGGAACGAATATTTATTGACAGTGTTCTATGAGTAGTATGCAACATCTAATCCGGCAAGTACATTATGTGTACTTCAAAAATATTTAGAATCTTAAGTACGTTTTCTGAACTAATAGAAGACGCTACGATTTTTTATACAATAGCGGTTAACTCTATATAATTTGATGTGTGTAATATTTTATACATTATCAATTATCATTTATTTGTATTTCATTGAAATCGTTGAAAGGTAATATTATGCTTATATTATTTTATAATTATTTCCATCAACACGTGGTGAAAGGCCGTCACGAGTACTTAAATCTCATTATAGGATACGTTTTCTGTCCATCTAGTCACTCAACTTTGATCTTTGTCCATTTGACATTACTCTTTATTTTAATTACACATTTCCGACTTTCATAAATATAAAAACGATTATTTCGTGTAAAAGGAATTTGATATATACGTTTATTGATACAGGGTTCACTTTTATTGGTCGCCCTTACTGAATTCTGTTAATTGGCTTTATTAGGAAGATGGTGTTGTGACAACTCGAAAGTGCTATCGTGCGCATCGACAATGACGAAACGATGTTGTCTTCATTATGTGATGAGCGTTCACTATCTTGTCAGTTAAATTAAATGTATCGATAGATCACTTTGGACCGTGAGAGACGGCAATCGAAACAGTTTCTTTTTTATATGTTAGACCTATTAAAGTACTTAAAAATGTAAGCCAGTAAAACGGGAAACTGAACAATGCAAACAATTATAGTTCTTGGCTTTACATGTATATCAGTTTGTGTATTATAATTACTATTTATCTATTAGGAGCAACTAAAAATGGTTCTCATTTTACTTAACCAAGTTTTACAACATCCAATTGTTTATTGATTTTTAAAACAGTTTTTTTTTTTTAAATTAGATAGTCTTTTTTGAAATTTTAATCTTTTCTAAATCCTAAAAATAAATAATTTGACAATCAAAACGTTAGAATACTTGATTCAACCCTTGTGCAACAAAACGGCGGGTATAACGTTGTACTTAGGTAAATTGGTTAGACGGCCTATTCGGTGTCCGATGTACTTATGCTGGCTTCGAGAAACAGCTCTAATAGATTACTTTGTTGTTCTGCTAAAAGTGTAGTTTATAAAATTTAAATAATTTCAGTTGTTGTAATTTTGATATTACATTAATTAAAAATTGATTATTATTTAACCCAGAGAAAAATGGTAATAATGTAAATTTAAATTATTAAATTTTAAGATCGTGAAAAAGTTATAGAAACATAACGTAGTATCTTTTACAATGGGTCTGCGTTTTATATTTAATAATTTTAACGTAATTAATATGATATAATTATGACCATAGAACATTAAAAAAAATTACAAAACCTATTTTATTTTTATCGCAACCAAATAATTTACAGCTCCCATGATCACGAGGAATCAAAACTACTAAATAAATGAAATCAATATAATTGTTTTCGTTTTGGCCTTATATTTTAAAACTTAGCGAATCTGAATAGGTCAACATGTATTGATCATCAAAGCCCTCTGTCGATGCACCACGCGATATCGATGTAACTGACAATAATAATTGCAGTTCGAATGATACACGCACGCGATGCTAAATACCGCGCATGCCGTGTTACTTACTCCGTTTAATATATCTCTCTTATGTACCGTTGAATACGAAGCTGTTTAAAGATTTCACTTCAGCTGTCTTAATGAATGAAAAAAAAGTCCGGCTGGGTTTCTTGCTGGTTCTTCCCAGGACTGAGGTATTTTCCGAACCAGTGGTAAATAAAAAATGACTTTCAATAAGTATTATGTAATAATCAATATTGAATAAAAAATTATTCTATTCTATTCTATTCGATTTTGCATAATTTACATACATATGTAACTTTTACTTCATTCTTATAAAAAGTGTAACATAATATCAAACATATATTTAGCAATTGTCGGGTTACTACGGGCTACTGCTACAGACTAATTTATTCAAGAGCTGAACTACTGAAACTAATTTTCTCAGTTGTTCCACTTAAATATTAATTCTTTCAAGAGTTTAACTGCTAGTTGAACTTTTAACATCTGATTAAATCAATGGCCCACCCCAAAACCGCGGATGTTTTTTAATATATAAGTTTTTTGGAATTAATATATATTTGAAATAAAAAAAATATAGTAGTTTTACGCGGTAGTTAGGCTTCAGCTATATTAGTAGTATATAGTATATTTCGTGCCAATATTTCTCGGGAAAACGTCGCCGAGTACCGGAACAAACTAGTCTCTGAAGTCGAGTCTTTGCTGAACAAAATCTCGGATTGGGGGCGACTAAATCTAGTCCAGTTTAATCCTCAGAAGACACAAGTTTGCGCGTTTACCGCTAAAAAGAACCCCTTTGTCGTATCTCCTCAGTTTCAAGGCACTCTCCTTCTTGCCTCAGCCAGTATCGGAATCCTCGGAGTCGACATATCGAGTGACGTGCAGTTTCGTGGTCACTTGGAAGAGAAGGCCAAATTGGCCTCTAAAAAGCTTGGCGTGTTCAGCAGAGCGGGACAGTATTTCATGCCGGCATACCGCCTGCAACTTTACAAGGCGCAGGTTCGGCCTCACATGGAATACTGTTCCCATCTCTGGGCAGGGGCTCCCCAGTGCCAGCTCCTTCCACTTGACCGCATCCAGTCCAGAGCGGCTCGAATCGTCGACGACCGAGTCCTTTCCGATCGGCTCGATTCATTGGCACTGCGAAGAGATGTTGCATACCTTTGCATTTTCTTTCGCATCTACCACGGGGAGTGCTCTGAGGAATTGTTCGGATTAATCCCAGCCGCCAAATTTCACGAACGCACATCGCGGCAGAGCTCCCGATACCATCCATACCATCTGGATGATTGGCGGTCCACCACTGTACGATTTAGAAGATGTTTTCTTCCTCGCACGACTTCCTTGTGGAATCGATTACCAAGAAAAGAGCCTACTCCTTTTTAAAAGGCCGGCAACGCATCTGCAATTCCCCTGGTTCCCCTGGTGTTGCAGTTGTTCATGGGCGACGGTAGTCACTTACCATCAGGAGAGCCGCATGTTCGTTTACCAACTCTCCTATAAAAAATAAAAGTATAGTTGTATCACGAATGGGTCGGCTCGACCGGGCACGGACCATGCCCTCACAGTGTTTCGTATAGTGGGTGTAGAGAACCGGAGACCCTTTTTACCTCTCAGGGGTGAAAACGCACCTGCTGATTGATGTAGATCTCTATGGTCCACATCATCTACTTAATGAACTCTATGCTCGTTCGTCATTTTTATTCTATTAAGAACAATTGGATATAAAAAGAGACGCTGGCAAATTATTCCATTCCTTTGCTGTTCGCAGTACGAACGACGAAGCAAACCGATATGTCAATTCCAAAAACAAACATTTGAGTTGGGTTTGGGTTAGGAAATAACTTCTTTATTCCAAAAGAATATGCCCACACACACAAGTCTCCCAAAGCCCAGTAGCACTTAGCCACCTGCATCCATATATTTCAGCATCTTCTTCCTATTTTATTTATATAAGTTACAATATCAAATTTCATAAGGATTTTACAATAAACTTTTTTAACACCAGGTGCAGATTTGAGCGACGGTGAGCACGAGCCCGCGTCGTCTTCGCCAGCGCCGGTGAGCTACGCGGCGGCGACCACCACACCGCCGTCGGTGCCCGTCGACCCCACCGCCGATACACTGGTCTCCTCCACCGAAACACTACTGCGCAACATACAAGGCTTGCTCAAGGTCGCCGCTGATAACGCCCGCCAGCAGGAGAGGCAGATCAGCTACGAGAAAGGTAAGCTTGTCTGAATTCATATAACCGTTGCGTTGCTAATCACTTAAACATTATTGTCTTTAATTATAATCGTTGATTGTTGCTTACTTAAATTAAGTGTTGATTATATCTTTATATCTGTCTCTTTCTATTATCATTTAGGTGAAAGAAAGAGACAGCAATTTTAAGCACTTCTCAATTTTCTCAATTTTTATGAGGCCGTTAACAAGTAATTCAAAACCGGGAAACGTATGAATATATATGTACGTATGGCTTATTGTAAAAAATTCATCTGTCATCTTTATTAAACGAGTTTAAATCAGAGTTTACTTCATTTTAATTTTTTAGACGGTTGGCTTCCTTTCTTGCAACAGTATTTACTGCTGAGTTACGATTCAAAGAGTATTGAGAACCAACCATAACTATTCCATCATATACCCCAGAGATGATGACGTACCTTTAGTCTTTTTTATATTGGTTTCAGGTATCTAGGGGTTCATTAGCAGTTCACAGGTGGACTGTTAGTTCGTTTCTCTCTTTGTCTAACAATATTTTCATATTCTGGCAGAAGCATCAATTTTTTTAATGACTAATTGATTAATGTAGACATTATATAGAATTCCCGTGCAATAAGAATCACAACAAGTGAAATCGGTCTGTGTAATAAATAACTATCTAAACTTCATTATTTATTACAATGTCTGACCATTCTGAATATTGCTACTTGGTTGTTGCGCAATTTGAAAATTTAGATATATTTAGTAGGACGCGGAGTTCAAAGAAATAATAAACCTATGTTTACATGTGCTTATTTAGAGCTATCCATAGTTTAGCGTATTTTTGATATTAATTAATAGTTATTTTAATAATTATTTGGATTCTGGAACGATATCGTTTAGGGGCTTTCAAGAAACAAGATTACTCCTTTTTAAAAGACTGGCAACGCACCTATAATTTGTCATGTGTTGTACTTTTACATAGAAAGCGGTCGCTTACCATCAGGTGAGTCGTATGCTCGTTTGCCCAATCATACATAAAAAAGAAAACCAATTATGCTCAGTTGAATATTTTAAAACTATATTTACCAACAACCTAATACTTGACGTTTTGACTTTTCATGTTATGCAAAAGTAAACTTTCAAAATTCCATAAATGAACTTGTTGTTCCATATTTGAAGTTAAGAATAAATTGTTTTCATTTCACCATCTCTACATAGTATAAACAACAAAGTCACTTCCCGCCGTCTGTACGTTTAGATCTTTTAAACTACGCAACGGATTTTGATGTAATTTATCAATAGACAGAATGATTCAAGAGGAAGGTTTATACATATGTATAATACATGCATATTATATATTTTATGTTCTTATGTGTCTACGTGTATGTGACTGAACTCCTCCCAAACGGCTGGACCGATTTTAATGAAATTTTGTGTGTGTGATTAAGTTGATTAGAGAATGGTTTAGATTGAAAATTGACCCCGGTAGGTGACGTTGTTGTCGAGATCCAGAAATCACCGTGCGAAGCCGGGGCGAATCGCTAGTTATCAATAAATCACTAAAATTGTCGCCAGTTCAACTTACAGTATATAATTATAATTAAAACTGTATAAATATTAAACAAAATACGTTCAACAAACGTTAACACATTTACGCGTGTGCACCTTTGCCACGCAAGTTGTGTGCAGACGCATGTCGTGCCTTCAGCAAATAGCCGTAGAACAGATGCGCTTGAGTTATGGTTCCATCCACTATCATTACATACGATTTTACTCGGACAGCATAATTGCTTAATTGATATTTCTGCGAGATATTTATTCACGTCATTCTGTTTTCACCATGAGACATATTGTGCGTTATGGAATATCACACTTATATGTGTAGGTATGTTAAACTAAGCGAAGGTGTATCAATAATAACTATTTTGTTTTTTAAATAAATTGTAACCAGTTGTTTTATTTGTAATATTCCAAATATTTTTTACGTGGTAGAGCCACGCTTCAGCTTTATTATGGTTTTAGCCCGAATGGGTCGGCTCGACGGGGGTTAGCAGCTTATTGCTGCTGTTTCGTATGGTGAGTGTAGGGAACCGGAGACCCTTTTTACGGGATACGAGGCATTTTATCTTAGTCCTCAGGATGCATTTTGATTCTTAATCGAGGATAAATGTAGATGTCTATGGGCCACAGCATCTACTTACCATCAGGTGGACTGTGTGCTCGAAAGTCATCCTTATTTTATAAAAAAAATATTATTGTTATATTAACGATTATATTACTTAAGGCACAGAATAAATTGCTTAAGGCAAATATGTATAATAGTTGTTGTGTTAAAATTATTTCATCATTCATTTATTTATATTTAAATTAGGTTTAGTTACCTATAAAGTTATCTTAACATAAATAAAAATGTTAGCGTACATTAAAGAACCACGCCTTTACAGCTTGCCAGTCATTCTTACTATTTGTTAAAAAAAAAACAAAACCATTCGCGAGTGTCGTGGAATAATCGGTTGGAACGAAGTTCCTTTCGTAGTGTATTATTATTGATAAACGTATTATATTATTGATTAACAAATACAAATAATTTAATCACTAGCGTCTATTAAAATGAAGCGTCATCTATACAAATAAATAAAATTGAAGTGTCTGTTTGTAATGTCGAAATAACAGTTTTTTACTATATGCATATGAAATTATATTCCTGTCCTGTTATATTATAGTCTGTCTGTTTGTTCCGGCTAATCTCCGAAACGGCTGGACCGATTTGACCGGACTTTCACTGGCAGATAGCTGTTGTTATAAGAAGTAACTTAGGCTAACTTTTATTTTCGAAAAAGAATTAGGGTTATGAAATCCAATCGTAGTAAATTACGCGCGAGCGAAGCCGCGGGGAACAGCTAGCTTAAAATAAAGTAATATTTCTTTCATGGCAAGATAAGAAAAAGTGCGAGGGAGATGGATATTATTCCATCTCGCTTCCTTATAACCGCCAAGGTCGTCGACACTACGTCAGAACGGAACGGGTCGTGACGGAAAAATCTTATAATTCCCTCGCCTAGCCCCCATCCGCCAAATTCGTACCGCCCGATAAAGAACTTCGTTCCAAAAATAATCACTGGCATCTAGGAATTTTATCTAGTTTCTATGATTAAATTCAATTTTATCATGTTTACGCCAGGAACAACTACTAACTAACTAACCTAACTTGAAATTCATCGACAATGTATTTAGGTGATCTTTTTATACAAGTAAAGGTGAAAGTTTACATTCTACAGCTAGTGGTTAGAGAGCTTAGATCATTGAATGGTCTAAGTTAGAGAGCTAGTGGATGAAGATTTAAATGGCGCACGCGTGGTAACACCTGACGTCTAAGATGGATTTCATTATTACCAGTAAAAGGGTATCGGGATCTCGTCATTCGCCATACGAAATACTGCAGAATTATGCTACTCTTTTATGCTGGATGAGTGTACCCTGCTGAGTCGATCGATTACGCTGTTGCCACAATATCCTATAACGTGACTACGCCACGTAAAAATCTCTATCCGTTATATTTTTGGGTGCTCGTTTTTAACATTTATCATATATACATACCTACCTACATTTAAATTTATTACAAAACTACCATGGGTTAAACATCCGTTTGTCAGTCAATACGTGCCCTAAATAATTATAATTTATATAATATATTAATAATTATTAGTAATCGTGTAACTTCTCCAAACGATTCCACCGATTGAGATCATATTTACACAATATAATATTTCTTTTGTCGAGACGATGGAGCATGCTTTGCTATTCGATAGGTGGCGCTATAGTCAAGTGATTAACATATTCTATGTATTATATTCTATATGGACCAAAAACTAATTTATTTACAATATGTGTTAGTACGTCACCTACCAGCAAGGGCCGAATAACATCTGCCGAGCCATTTAGTATACATATAAATTTCTATTATAGATGTTCAATCAGGTGTAGGTAATAATTAGGGATGTGTATCGATTGAATGACTATAATTGAAAAAAAAACTATAAAAAAAAACAAATAATATTAATTTTAATATGTAATTGCAACTGAATAAAATAAAATAAAAACTGCAGTTGCCAACCCAACTACCAACTATGCCAAATATCCCCCCTATGATGGAACTATAGGAGACCTATGTTAAGCAGTGGTAAAGTGAAATGAAAACATTTTTAAATACACTTCCGTCATTATTCTAAGACTAATGGATCTAAAAATAATGGAATGTATATACATAATGCAAACCATTGGTGCTTAAAAAGATGAACAAAACCCAATTGTTATAAAACCTATAAAAATACAGCGGAGGACGGGGAGAAAACTCGCGGCACGAGTCATCATCAAACTTGAATATCAATATTGCGCCTAGGGCCAATTGTATTAATAAACAAAACAAAATGAGAAATAATAATGCTATAGGCCAACAAAAGGTTCCATTTCTCCCCCCTGACATGCAAGTAAACGCTAGAAGAATAAGTCTCTAACACAATACTGGTAAGATTGAAAATTGCTCGCATAAGTTTTCAACCCGTAATTTTGTTATTACGATATTAAAATTATTGTTGATGAAACATTTTTCCAATCGCTACGTATGGCGAACCTTACTGTTGATCTTTTTTCAAAGAAATTACTGCAATCATGTCCTGATTCGCTTCGCTTCGACTGATAGGTGTTACTGACATGACCTCACATTTTAGTTGGTTGGATCGTTTTCATTAGTATATAAAGTAAGGCATATACCTACTTCACAGTATATTTTTGATTTTGCTTGCTTTTGCCTATTTTGGCCTTTCATTATGAACTTCTGTGGTGACAAAATACCTATGGTATCTATGGGCAGACCATAATGTCCGTAACCATATATCTAGCGCCGTAGTAGCTTAGGAGCTATGCAAGCAACCCCGGTTCGATCGTCGCCGGCACCAATTAAATTGTTAGTTTACAATTCCAGTGCTGATATCTTAAATAGTAGGCGGTAAAATAAAACATTTT